ATGCTGTCTATTTGGCCAGTGTCGCAGCCCTTGGGCTATGGTGACAAAGCATCACTGATGGTGTGGCTTTCACACAGCAAAAGCAACTTCTCACTGCTCAGGAGGCTGGACCTCAGGGGCAGCCTGCCTCTTCCAGGTGGCAGATGACTAATTTCTCATCATGCCTTCCTGTGGTGAAGAAGGAAAAGCAAGTTCTCTGGTCTCTTTATTTATTTTATTTTTTATTTTTTGTTTTTACTTTTTTTAGTACATGTTTGCATTCTATAATAATTACAGTTCTCATGTGAAGTTAGTACACAAACATAACTCATCTTAATTCTTTTTTCATTTTATTTCCTCCATCTCTTGATCCCGTTATCACTTGAAATAGATCTCTCTACTTCCCATTTGTTTTGCTCTTTATTAATATTTTGGCTTTGTCACATAATAGAAACCATGTGATATTTCAGCTTGTGCATCTGATTTATTTCACTTAACATGAGTGTGTCTCAGTACATCCATTTACCCATGAATGTTTGATGTTCTTCTTTCTTTATAGTGGAGTAGTGCTCCATTGTATGCTAACACCACATTTTCTTTATCCACTCATCTGTAGACGGACATATAGGCCACTTGCAACATGTACCTATTATGAATTGTGCTGCTATAAATGTGAATATGTATGCATCCCTGTAATATTATGTACTGAACTCTTCTGGGAAGATCCTAGAAGGGGAATAGTGGGGTTAAATGGAATTTCTAGTTTTACTTTTTTGAGAAATCGCTATACTAATTCTCACAGTGGTTGTACTAATTTACATTTCCAGGAACAAGAGAGAAGAGTTCCTTCCCCCTCTTTCAGCCTTTTCAGAATTTGGTATTTGATTTCTTGAGAGTGGCCTTTTTTTTTTCTGGAGTAAGAGGTAAACTCGGTGTTATTTTAATTTGCATTTTATCTAATGACCAGCAATGTTTTTTCATGTATTTTTTGCCATTTGATTTGTACTTCTGAGAAGTATCTAAACATTTAGGTAGCCAATATTTTGGTTTGTCTTTTATTTTGGGGGGGTCTGATTTTTGAAGTTTTTATATTCTAGATTTTAGTCCTCTTTTTGAAGAAGAGGTGGCAAACAATATTTTCTCAACCTGTATGCTGTATTTTCACTCTGTTGGTTGTTTTCTTTGCTGTACAGGTGCTTTTTTATTTGATATGACCACATTTGTTGACTCTTGGTGTTATCTTGTGCCACTGGGGTTCTAGTCACAGAGTCCTTACCTACATTCATGTCTTTTAAGAGTTTTACCCGTTCCGTACTCTAGCAGATTGTGTCTCTGTTTTAACATTTATATATTTGATTCATTTTGATTTTAGTTTAGTGCATGGTGAAAGATTGGGCCTAGTTTCAATCTTCACCATGTGGATAGCCAATTTCCCCAACATCATTTATTAGAGACTATATTTCCACTAGTGTACATTTTTGGCCCCTTTGTCAAAGGGGCCAAACTGAATGTACCTGGGGTTGTTTCTGAATCTTCAATTCCACTGATCCTCATGTCTATTTTTGTGCCAGTAACATACTGATTTTTTTCACTGTAGCTTTGTAATACAACTTCAAATATAATGTTACTGTACATTCACAATATACTTAAATTCTCTGAAGCTTTACAATGTAACTTCAAACTGCGGTTGCTCTTTAGGATTGCTTCTGGTTCAACATGAATTTTATGATTGTTTTCTCTCGTTCTGTGAGGAATATTGTTGTTATTTTTATTGGGACAGTGTTAAATTTGTGTATCAGGTTTAGAAATAAGGTCATTTTGACCATATTGGATAGACCTATCTAGGACCAAGGAATAGCTTTCATTTTCTGATGTCTTCTTCCATCTCCTTTTTCAGAGTACTATAGTCTTCAGTGTAGAGATTTTTCACTTCCTTATTTAGGTTAATTTCTAAGCAATTAATTTTTCTTGATGCTACTGTAAATGGTATTGTTTTACTAATTTCTTTCTCTGAAAATTCACTATTGGCACACAGAGACTCTATTGATCTTTGTGTGTTAAATTTGTATCCTGCAATATTGCTGAATTTGGTTATTAATTCTAGGTGTCTTTGCTAAAATTTTTGAGTTTCTTTGTAGTGGATTGTGTTGTCTGCATAGTAATGATTTGACTTCCTACTTTCCCATCCATATCCCTTTTATTTTTTTTCCTGTGTAATTGCTCTGGCTAGTGTTTCAAGTACTATATTGAACAGGACTGGTGATAGTGAACATCCTTGTCTTGTTCCTGATTTTAGAGGGAAAGATTTCCATTTTTCTCCATTTAACATGACATTAGTAGTAGGTTCATCATAAATAGCTTTTATCAGCTTGAAATAAGGTCCTCATGCCTGCTTTCTTTTTTTTTCCTTTAAATTACAAGTGGATGTTGGAGTTTGTCAAAGGCTTTCTCCCACATTTATTTTGAGATGATCATGTGATTTTTGTCTTTTTTCCTATTTATTTTTTCCTTATTACATTCATTGATTTGTGTATCTTGAACCATCCTTGCATCCCTGGGATGACACCTACTTGGTCATGATGTATAATCCTTTCGATGATGCGTTGCATATCTTGTTGAGAAGTTTTACATTTATGTTCATTAAAGAGATGGAACTATAGTTCTTTTTTTGTTGTTGGATCATTGTTGGGTTTTGGAATCAGAGTAATATTAGCCTTTAAGAATGACTTTGGGTGTGCTCCTCTCCTTTAGATTTCATTAAAGAGACTGTGGAGTGTTGGTGTTGGATTTTCCCTAAAGTTCTTGCAAAATTTGGCAGTGAATACATTATGACCTGAGCTTTTCTTAGTTGGTATTTTTTTTGTTATTATTTCTGCTTCAATTTCATTGCCTGTGAATGGATTATTCTTGGTTTTTATATCATCTTGATTAGTTGGGGAATTCATATGCATCTAGTAACTTATCCATTTATTTTTGAGCACTCCAACTTATTTTTTAACAGGTTTGTGAAATAGTTACTAATAATGTTTTGGACTTGGGCAGTATTTGTTGTATTTCACTGTTGTCATTTCTAATTGCATTGTTTGGTTCTCCTTTTTTTGTAATTTGCTAAGGCTTTTCCATTTTGCTTCTTCTTTTTAACAACAAGCTCTCAGATTCATTGATTCTATTGAGTTTTAGTCTTTATTTCATTAATTTTCACTCTGATCTTTATAATATTTTTCCTTGCACTAGCCTTGGATTTAGATTGTTCTTTGTTTCCTATGACCTTGAAGTGCATTACTGAGTTATTTATTTGGGGCTCACTCTGATTTTCTTATGTGGGCAGTCACAGCTCTCAAATTCCCTCTTGGGACTACTTTCATTGTGTCCTATGAGTTCTGGTATGTTTTACTGGCATTTCCATTTAATTTGAGGAACTCTATTATTTCGTCTGTGCCATGTTGATCCAAGAGGGTATTGTTTAATTTCCATGTGTTTGCATAATGACTGTAGTTTCTTTTGCTATTGATTTTTAGCTTCATTGCATTACAATCTACTAATAGGTACAGAATAATTTGCATTTATTTAAGCATGCTTTATTGAGTATTATGTACTCTTTGCCTTTGTCCCAGAATCCCACCATCTCCACTTATTTGGAGGGTGAGGCTGCAGTGTAATCAGATCAGTAATCGGTTCTCTTGGAATGGACTGCAGTGTTGGTAATGACACCAAAGCAATTCAGATACTGGCATACAGAGGAAACCAATGGATAGCAACAACTATGCTATCTTGGGGATGCTAATAACATCAGCAACAATAATAGTGTCAAAACCAAACTGGATATTGACATACTCTATGAACCAATAATGTACTATTCTCAAAGGGATCAATAATTATAGTGTAAACACTAAGACAAACCAAATATTGACCTACCATAAATAAATGGAACAACTTTATTTCCATTAACAATACTATGTAACAGTAAAAGCATAGGGTTAACTAACTGCCTAAAGATTCATAAAGCTTAATTGTTATTCTAGTGGAGATAGATGAGTTAGGGAAACAGAACATGAGAAAGGTAAAATTAGAAATATTAATCAAGGGAAGATGAAAAGAAAAAAGTGAGATGGGGCTCTTACTGAGGAGTGAAAGGAAATTTATAGTAGTAGATGGCAGTAACAGAAAAAAAACAAACAGAAAAAAAACTGCACAAAATAAATGAAAAAAGCAAAAGGGGAAAATGTTAAAAGGAGAAAGGAAAAGAAAAAAGGAAAAAAGAGACATCCCCCCAATAAAGGAAAAAGAGAGAAAGAACTTGAGTCCTTAAGAAAATTCCTCTGTGCTGTTGAATGAGTGATTTCTTCCCAGGACCTCCAGTCTTGAAAATTGAGCAAGTCACAATTTTCTCCATGTAGCTTTACAGTCTGTGGGTTTGTGAAGTGCTCTCTTTGTTCCAGGGGTTCCTCTGTCCATACACCCCAGACTGGACAATTATTCAAACTGAGGCACATTCTTGCTCATGTTGGTAGATAGGAAAAACAATCAGAGCCCTCTGGACTCTGCTGGATGTAGGCCATAGGACAGGTATTCAGCCAACACTTTTGGATCCAGCTGCTTCTAAAACCTCATTCACACATCTTGGTTTCTCACAGTAGAGGGCAGGGCCTGTGTCCTTCCTAGCAAGTGCTCAGAGTTCTTAGGGGGTCTATATACAGCCCATACCCGCTTGGCAGCTGTCCCCTGTGGCTGTCTCAATTGGTCACTGTGGGAAGATGACATCAGAAACCCTGAAGTGGAATTGTTCTGAGGCTCAGTCTTGGACGATTCCTTCCCAAAATGGGGCCTCATTAAACACTCTTTGGCAGTATGGTGGCCACTACACCAAGTTTCTTCTCCAACTCTAGCCTACCATGAAGTAGTGACGTTCAGAGTAAAAATCCACACTGTGTTTATGTAGTTTATGATAGCTATGTATTTTTATAGTGCTGCTGGCCCTGCCTGTTGTTTTTCACTGGAGCTTCTGACTCTCTGTGGCTTACCTTCCTTCTGGGGCAATGGCCTCATCCACAATCAGCTTGGTCAGTTGGTTGGGACCTTGAGTCCCTGGTGCCAAAGGGAAACAAAATACAAAGCAGGCTTGGAGTTGGTAGGAGGGCAGGGTGCAGAATCCACAGGCAGGAGTTGAAGAGCTCATGTTGTGGAAGGAACTGGTAAATGACACACAGAGATGTAGAAGTGGTAAAACAAAACAAAACAAAAAAATTGCTAGCAAAGGGTTGGCCTGCGTCAAAGGCTGTGCCAAATGACCAACCCCGGGCTGGTTTGCAATCTGTCTCTTATAGGAGTCTTACAAACATGGCCTCATTTTAGGTGATAAGACATTCTAGTTTCCACAGTTCCCATCACAAATCATGGTCACGGGACAGTTCAGTGTTAACCCAAATGTAGCATTTTCTTTCAGGATGTTGTCTTTAGCTATTGTAGCCCCCAAGAGTGGGGGTCAGGGTTAGGAAAGCAGGACCCATGACGTTCCTTTCATCTTAACTTCATTTCAGACTATTTACAAAAGTTCTTTCTATCATTCCTCCCTTTGTCTCTGGGGGGTAATTCCTTACCTTTCTTTAATTTATTCATTCCATTTTTCATTATTCCACATAATTAGCATTTGATAATGTCGGGCAGCAGCTACCCTCTGGTGTATGAGTTTAGACATCCATTTAATAGTTCTAAAATGTACACACTTTTTATCAAACCTATCATCTTCAGGCTTATAGATTTTTAATTCAAAAACAAAATAATCCGTAACTATCCAACACCATAAAAGAGTCCATAATGGTTGTAGTCCTCCTCTTTTAGTTATGTGTTAACTGTCTCTCTCCAGAGTGATGGGAGCAGGGCTTTAAGTGTGTTGTCTCTTGGGGTCGCAGTTCATGGAGTCCTCTGGATAAGCTCATTTTACCCTGCAGTGGTGGAACCATGGTTGGACCTCAGCCACCTTGGAACTATTTCCTTTAATAAAACTTTGCATACTTCTGAAGGCTTCTCCCTTCTTGTAGGGAAGGCTTCAGGCCACCCACAATAAGTGCAAACAAATACCAACAAATATTTACAACCTCTGCAAGGGGAGACTTCTGTAAAGTCTATTTGTATGTCCTCAGAGGGGGTTGTTGTAGTTCAAATAGTGCTCTGGGCCCTGAGGTCAGATTTATTTTCTGACAAATCTGACATCTTTTTGAGACTTGCTCACACAAGGCAGAAATCCAAGGTATGAAGAAATACCTCTCTAACAGTGTTTGAAGGGCTGCTCTCCCCCCTCGGTCAGGTCATGGTATCTTTTAATCCAACAGTATGATAGTGCCTCTGGTATCGTCATCCTGTTTGTTGTCAGGTAGGATCTGAATGAGTCCTTGTTTCTCAGCCAATTGCTCCTTAGCCCATTCCTTCTCTTTATCTGAATATTCTATAGTAGCTGGGAGTTTTTGTATCTCCAATTTTCTGTTTTGTACATGGGTGAGCACAGATATCTGAAATTTCTGTTTAGCTGCCTTTTTGGCTTCTACATCTGCCTTAGCATTGCCTTTTGCTACTGTATCTTTTCCTTTTTGGTGCCAAGAGCAATGCATCACTGCTACTTTATGGGGTTCCCACACTGTTTCCAACAACTGCACCATCTCCTGTTTATTTTTAATTTGTTTGCCCTCTGCTATGAGAAGACCATGCTCTTTATACACTACGCCATAAATATGTAAGGTGGAAAAGGTATAACAGGAGTCTGTACAAACATTCACCCTCTTTCCCTTTGCCCATCGGAGAGCCTGTATGCGTGCCCAAAGCTCCATTCACTGAACTGATCATCTGGTGGGCAGGGGTCCCACTTGGACCACTTCATCCTGGGTGGTCACTGCACAGCCAGCATAGGGTACCCCATTTTCCATGAACGGGATGAAATCAGCATCAGGCAGTGGGGTGTTTTGCAGATCCAGATGACTAGAGAACAACTCATCAGTGATGCTGAGACAGTCTTGGTCAGGAGGGCCACGTTCCAAGGGCAAAAAGGTAGTGGGATTTAAGGTTAATTGGAACAAAATGTGGACAGGGATTCTCATAGATGAGGGCCTGATGTTGTGTGACTCTATTATGTGAGAGCCACTGATGTCCTCTGTTATTCAACAGCTCTAGGAGGGCATGGGGAACCCGAATAGTCAAGTTCTGGTCTAAGGTTAGCTTGTTTGCTTCCTTAATCAGCATGACTGCAGCTGCCAGAGCTCATAGGCAAGGAAGCCATCCCTTTGCAACAGGATCCATTTAGATAGATATGCTGCTGCATAGATAGATATGCCAGGGGCCCATTTTTTGGGTGAGCACCCCAAGGCAGTGTGATTTCTTTCAGTCACATACAAGGTAAAAGTCTGAGACACATCTGAGATTCCCATTGCAGGGGCAGCAGAGAGGGTTGGTTTTAACCTTTTAAATGTTGACTCTTGTTCTTTATCCCATAACAGTTGCTGTCCTTTGGGGCCTTTTAAGACTTCACATAGGGGCTTGGTTATATTCGCAAACCCCAGAATCCAGGTTCTGCAAAAATATGCAGCTTCTAAGAATTTTCTCAACTGCTTTTGTGTTTTAGGTTCTGGTATTGTGCTATTTGCTTTCTTTTATTTCCTAAGCAGCACATTCCTTTAATAATTTGAATCCCAAATATTTGACTTGCTGTACACAAATTTGACCCTTTTTCCATGAAACTTCATATTCTGCCTCTTCTAGCAGCATTCATAGTCTCTTAGTATGCTGTGAAGTTTTTATTCCTTTAGTACATCAGAAAATTAACAGCAACAACAATAATTATATATATGAAACCTTATGCCCTTTAATGTAATTTGATACCAAAAGCATCTTTTCAATAAAACCTTGTTTTTTTTACCGCACAGAAAATTTACTCTTTTTAAGATGACCAGTGTAAACATATCACAATCACATATTTAGAACTTAACACTTTGATGACAACCAATGTAAACATATTGCTATAACATATTTAAGTAATATTCATTAATGTAAGTCTCTTTATATTTATAAATGCAAACCTTTTATAAACTTGAAACCAACAAGCAAACATATACATTTCCTTGGTAAATCATTTCTGCACACTTTCTCAATGTACCTAGGCCTTCTGGTCTTGTTTATTTCTCTTTATCCTTTTAACAAGACAACCATACAAAATCCTTTCATATCAAAAGTATATGTATTTCCTTATAGATTCTTAGTATTTTTCTTCCATCTCACTTACTATAAACCTTCTATAACAAACTTGTTTTCAGCTGTTAAAATTTCAAAGTGTTCCTTTTTTTTCTGTTCTCAGATTGTTACATTTTAAAATTTGACTGCCAATAGAACAGTACTAACCTTGAGATTTTTTATGAACAAAGTACAGAAAAGAGCAAGTTAACCCTATAATCAAAAATCACAATTCAAGAATTTGCAATGTACAAGAAAATTTTTAAGCACACTAAACATCAACTCAAATTGAAACAAAGATACACTTATCAAATAGTTTAAATTTGTAACTTGACTTCTCTTGTAAAATCTCTTGATGTCTGGTAAAGCACAGTTGCACTTTCTCTGGCTTTGTTCTGGTATCAGGCTGATATTGCAGTGCTGGCCTTAGGGCTACTCACATACACTTTCCTAGCCAGCTGCAACAACTGAGTTATATTCATTTTTTTCCTCATTTCCTGCTTCTGTTCTTTGTTTCTGATATTGGCAGCAGATTGAGTTACTAAAGCAGTGTTCACTAGTTGTTGATTTTCTGCCGCGGTTGGATCAAAAGGTGTATACATTCTATATGCCTCATAGAGTCTCTCGAGAAAACTTTGCAGGGCTTTTACCTGGTTCTTGTGGGGTTTCCATCACCTTAATTATATTGGTGGGCTTTTTGCTAGCAGCTTTCATTCCTGCTAAAAGGGAGGCTCTATAGTTTGCCAGATTGCGCTGTCCGGCTGGGGTATTTATATCCCAATTTGGGCGGGCATTCACAGGAAATTGTTGTTCATGCCATTTGTCAGGGTTTTGTGTCCCAGGTGGCAGGCGAGGGGGCGTTTATCTTTTTTATCTCCCCTATAATCCTCTGAATTTCTTCAGTAGTTAACATCACTCTACAGAGTTCTTTACATTCTTCCCAAATGGAACGATGGGTACAAAATATTGCTTTAAACAACTGAAACATTTTTGTTGGATCCTCTGTGAAAGGGGGAGTGTCTCTTTTCCAATTAACTAGGTCAACAGAGCCAAAAGGCTGGTGTATAAAAATGATGCCTTCTTCTCCTGGGTATACTTGCAATGGCATTTGGAGGCTTGGTCCCAGCTCTGCAGTCCTAGTTCTGTGAGCTGTGGGGGTACCATGGTGGAAGGGTGGACACAGGCTGCCCTGAGCTATCAGGAGTTGGAGGAGTTTGGGCATTTGCTCTGGGAGTTTGGGCATCTGCCCAATAAGGAGGGGGGTGATCTAGTAAGTCTTCTACATCTTTCTCGGGGTCTAGTTGGGTCTTAACCATGAGCAGCTGGGGTGCCTTGTTCACTGTACACGTCTGGAGTCATGGGGACATATGTGTACGTAATTCTAACCAGGTGTCTATATATGGGTATTCACTAGTTCGCCCCTGGGTGGTAACCTTGTTCCAAAGCAGCTTTTCTCTTGTCTAGAATTCCCTCTGGGGGCCAGGACTGGCTTAACTGAGGCCACGATAACTCACAAAGTTTCTTGAGCACCTTTGGTCTTAATTTTACCCCACAGTCTCCCACAAAGCCTTTGTTAAAGTTTTGAATCATACACTCAAGAACAGTTAGTTTAGTATTCGCATTTTCCACGATCACTTGATATTCCCTTGTCCAGTGATGCAGGACAACGGGTGAGTGCCACTGACTAAGGAATGACCATATGCTCACCTGCCTGGCTATGAGGACTCGGCCGCTTCAGCCCCATCTGAGCTAAGGAACACCATCGTGTTAGTGTTCCATTTTGCTCATATTAGACGCTGGCCACAGAATCACAGAAACAGGCCACACACAAGCTCTGCAACGCGGAGAGGGATCTTTAAGCATAAACACCCCCTCTCTTTGTCTTGGTGCACAGATGAGGCTACATATTGTTTTCATAGCTTGTTCCACTCACACTCTTTCACTCACACAATCACACAAGAAGTTAACACATTCCCTCCCTGGGGTCCTTTATGAAGTACCATAACAAATTGAGGGTGTATATATCCCTGCAACCCAGCCTGGGGCAAATGAAACCCTCCCAAATGGCAAAGAATGGAGGGTGATCAGGTTTCCACACTGTATCTCACCCCAAATTGAACAGAGTCCAAAGC